AGTCAATCTATTCAAAATTAACAGTAGTATTATTAAAAAGCATTATTAAAAAGCAATATTAAAAAGTATTATCAAAAAATATTATCTTTTGCAAAGTGAATGCAAAGATTACTTAAGTAACTACTTTTATCTCATTCTCATTTCAAGAATCAGTCATCTTATTATTCTTTGTCTCAATGTTAAGATTCTTTATCAGTGTTTGTATCACAAGTTAAATCATATGAGTAATGCAGAAAATATAATCTTATTTATTATTTCAGAAATGCAAAGTCAATTTTTGCTTTAAGCTCTTCATTATAGTGTAGTTATTTGCAGCATTATCAGTTGTAATTGTAAGAAGACTGAAACTAATATCTCAATAGTTATTTTTAATCACAGTTATTAATATCTCTGTTATATAATTCTCAGTATGACTACTGATCAATGATTCAAATTCAATTAATGTCTCTTGATAAGTTCAGTTCTCATCAATGTAATAACATATAACTCTTATAAATACAAGATTATTTATACTAGTTCATGCATTCACTGTGAGAGACACTCTTCAATGATTCTTCAACTCTGATTCTAGATATTATATATTAACTTTGTAGTATGTCTCAAGATTGAACTGAAGACAGAATTAATGTGAAATATGAAGATTTGAATTAAGCATTTGAAGAAGTGTTCAGAATTCGAGGTTTTCAATTGATTGAAGAGAAAGATTCAGAGATATACAGAGACAAAGTAATTATTCATAGAAGTTATTAGATAAGAGTTATGAAATCAGAGTACTGATATAGAGTTGTTTTTACATAATTTTCTTCAAATTAGAAAGTTAGTATTATTAAAAATCATTATCTGATAGAGTAACTTATCAGCTCAGTAGTAATTTTCTGATTATTTTTCTTTTATTATCTGCATTCTGATGACTTCAGATGTTAAGAAATTTCTTCAGAGCTATGATCAGTTTATGATGAATATTTCTGAATAAAGTTGCAGTAATTGTAGTAGAGAGATAACTCTTCAGTAATCTGCAATACAATCTGTTAATAATTATTTCATAGTTCATCTCAATATTTGTGTTAAGTTCTTCATAAATTTTGTGACCTGAAATCAGATGTGAAGAATGAAGTGATCATTCATTATAATTGAAAGAGAGCATTCTGTGTTGAATTGTAAATAATATAGACTTTGTAATTCACAGTGATTTCTTGAAAAGTTTGTGAATCTTCAATAGAAGTAAAAGAAGTAAATTCAGAAGATATGATAATAATTTGAGAAAGATGATAATTTATTTTCAATAACTGATCACTGATGTGTGTAAGAAGAATTAATATAAGAGAAAATAATCTTATTTCTTAGCTTAGTTATAATTTTAGTACTAACTCAGATTGAATATTATTGATGTATAAAAGTAAATAAATAATCTTGATTAATCTCTATCATATTTCTTGAAATATATTAATATTGTGAAAGAGAGTGTTACTAAATTACATTATCAGATAATATTATTAAAAATATATTAATATTATAAATATCAATGTTGAAAAAATATTAATACTTATACATTATAGTGATTTGTGAATCATGATAGTTAAATATATATATATATATATATATTATTCCTGACTTGATTACAACTTGTACAATAATTTTTAAAAACTCAAAATTAATTTCAATTATTAATAATTATGAACTTACAACTAAACTAACTAATATAAAAAGAAAAAAACTTTTTCTACTTATTATCTTTCTTCTCTTTCTCATTCTTCTTATCATTCTTCATAATTCACTTCTCATTCTTCTTCTTCTTCTTCTTCTTATCTGAGATAATAATCATCTTAAAATCTCTCTTCACTACCTTCTCAGAAGAGAGTTCTCACTGCTTCTTCTCAGCCAGGTCAATCTACATCTCAAAATCCCGCATTTCCTGATCTACTGTCTCAGGTTTCATCTCAGTGATAAGCAGATTGACATGCTCAGAGAGCAGAGCTGTCTTCTCAATATTCTGAATCATGAAGTGTATTCAAGACCTAAACAAGGTCTTAATCTCCTTCTTCTCTATCAGCTTCTGCTAATTAATTAGAGAATAGAAGTATTATTAAAAATTGTTATCTCTCAATAAATAAAAAACTTATCAGTTTTGACTTCTTTATCTCTTACTTTAATATTCTCTTAATCTTCTTCTATCACTACTTATTTATAGTAACACTCTTCTTCTCTCTTTCTCTCTTTATCTTAATCTTAAATTATTCTCAGAACTTCTTCTGATTTCACTGCTACTGTATAAGACTCTTCACTGTCTTCTTCTTCAATCTCTTACAGATGATGTTATCTGCATTATTTCTATACTTAGTTCAGTCTAAATCTATCAGAAGTGTTACTTAAAATTATTATTATTCTACTCTCTTACAGAGCCTCTTCAAGACATTATAATATGTCTTACAATCTGTCTCTTCTTACTTAAACATCTTCTTCTTCTCTCTCTTTAATCTGTGACAGTGCTCACGCGCCTTGATGATTCACAGAATCACAGAATATTTAAAGAGAGATGACATGATTGATTTCAGTGAGTGTTAAAGAGAAGTGAAAGTAGAAGAGACAGTTAGAAATAATATAATAATAATGATGATAATGATGATGATGATGATAATAGTAATAATGATAATAATAATAATAATAGTAATGATGATAATGATGATAATGATAATAATAATAATAATAATGATAATGATGATGATGATGAAAGAGAAAGTGCATTGAAATATATTACTGACTTATCAAATATAAAGAGACTTAAAGAAAATATTAACAGCTTTCAGTGATGTACAGAAACAGCTACAGTGTTATATAGTAATATCATCTTTATTCAATACATACACTGTTGATATTCTTTGTATGCAGTTATTATATAATCTATATCAGAGATACATGTAGAAAACAGATCTTTATTACTAGAATAAATGATTGCAGTAATTCTCTGTTTTCATATTATAAAGATAAGTTATTCTTATTTCTTTCTTCTCTCTTTTCTCTTCTTCAATCAATCACTAATTTCAAGCTGGTATGAAAACTATTAAAACACTCTCAGAAACTCTCAAATTGAAGAGTATAGACTAATTAAATTTCAAATATAGAAGAAATCAAATTATCTTCTATAGATTCAATTATTCATTCTCTCTTAAATAAAACAGTAGTTGCATTCTCTTCTCTCTCTCTCAATCAAATAAAACATGGCCTGTGAAAAGTGAGTATCATGCTAGGTCATAATAATCAACATAGTCTCAGCATACAGAGCTGTATATGCACAGTGTATACTGAACTGAAAGACTATGTGAATTATAAATCAGCAGCAGCATTTCAGAGAGAGCTGTGTAGTGTGAGAAAGCTGTAACTCTCAGTCATATATGCAGAGAGTGAATCACTGTAGTAAGTACATGTATATTAAAGTAATACTTTTTAATAACACTCAGTCTCTGATATAATGAAAATAGAGTCTCTCTGTGAGATCTGTTTCTATCAAAAGTCAGAGAATCTTATATTTCTCAAAATCATCTTCACATGTCTTATTCATGAAATTAATGAGAGAAATCATCAATTTCAGTATTCTGTTCTTGATATTATTTAAGTGATAGCAGAGTTCACTCTGATCACACTTTTTAAGTGTATATTTTCTAATTATTCATATTTATATAGATATATACTGATTATTTGTTAGATAATGTTAAGATAATAACTTATTATAACTATGTTATTCTTACTATGAGAAATACATGATTAATAATAAACATTATAAAGATTCTGAAGAGTGAGTATTTTAAGAATACTGCAGCTCTGTAATCTTGATTTTTTTTTATTTTTATTTTTTATTTTTTTCTTTTTCTTTTCTTTTTTTTTTTTATTTTTCTTTCTCTTTCTGTCTTTTTCTTTCTCTTCTTTTTTTCTTTCTCTTTTTTTTTTTTTTTTTTTTTATTGTGATTTTTTCTTGTTGTTTTATTTTTTATTTTTTTATTATTTTTTATATTTTACATTTTTTTTTTAATTAAAATGATATTAATTATAATCTGTGTTTAGAAAAGTAATAATATTTGATAACACTCTCTATTGAATTTTCAATAAATGAGTACTATGTTATAATATTATGTAAGTGAGAAATGATTTCAAGGTCTTATTTAATGTCATTTTCAATAATGAGATCAGAATGAAAATGTGACTAAGAATTCAAATATATTCTTTATCTGAGACTAGATTTTTATTTGAAAAGTGAATCTGAGATCTTTAATATTTGAAATAATGAGATTTGAGATCAATGTGATGAATACAAATCATGATCAGAAGTAATACTTTTAGACAACATAATAACTGTAAAGTTTGATCCTGGTTTCAGATATAATCATACAGTCAGTCTAAGCATGTGTGAAGTCTCTTATTAATTCAGAAGTTAGCAGGACTTGACAGAAGTCTAAAGAAGTTTAGTTAATCATGCTAATCTGAAAATATTGAGAAGAGAGGCTGAGTATGCTGAGATAAGTTCTACTATCTGATACATCTCATTCTCTTTTCACTTATACATCAGCTTCAGAATCATCTGAGAAAGGAGTAAAATAATGTATTCTTGATGATCTAGTGTCTCCTCTAATGCATTGCCTTTCTAATGGCTGAATACTAATAATTTGCTCTGATCAGTGAACTCAGACATGGTGCTTCTTATCTGAGTGTGAATCAGTCTTGATAAAACTATCAGAGTAATTCAATAACTTCTTTAATATGTTATCTTTGTGATTGTCTGAGGCTAGGAAAGAGGTTGACTCTTGTCAATTGAGTGAGTCATCAGCAATGTCACTTTGGCTTGAGTGAGCCTTCTTGATGAGGTCATTGGAAAAATCCGACAGTTGAAGTGATGATGAGATAACATTGACTGAGGAGGAGTTGAACAGGATTCATTTGTCCCAGTTAATGTCATTGAGACCAGAGACAGTGAATGACAGAGTAGAAAAACCAGCAAACTTCTCACTTACTGCATTCTTAGAGAGATCATCAGACACAGGGAAGAGGGGCACAGGTATGAGCATTGAAAGAAGGTGCTGAGACTCTTCACCTGACTGAGGATCAGAAGTGCATGCTTTCAGAAGATGCACTGTGTGCAGCTGAGATGAGAGAGAATCATTGACAGGTTCAGGGGAGGTGGTATTGTACATGAAGATAGCCATGTTATGAGATGAGATGATGAAATGCTCTTCTCCTCTCAATCTTGATTCAGGACTGAAGCAGTGGATTGCTTCACATCTTGCTCATCTGCTGAGAACACTCTAATATAGTTTTTCCTCAGAAGTCAGTGAAGTGATGTCTCATTCTCAAAACTATAGTTCTCTACAGAAAGTTAGGGAATTTGCAAGAATGCTGATGAAGATGAACTCTTAGAGAGTGTCATGAACTTGTATATAATGATAATAAAATGAAACCTCATGCAGTGCTGACATCTCTGAGAAGTGTCAGAATTCTGAGTGAAAAGACAACAAAAACTGAAGTCTCATGCAGTGTCAGCATCTCTGAGGAAGTGAGCTTCTTGAGAAGGTGAGTCTCATGCAGAGTTGGTATTCTTGAGGAAGTGAGCCTCTTGAGAAGTGCCAGAATTCTGAGTGAAAGAGCAATAAAAAGTGAAATCTCATGTGATGTCAGATTCTCTTGAGAAGTAAAGCTTCTTAAGAATGTCATATTTTTGAACTATTAGTCACTGGAGTAAAATCCCTGAGGGACATCATAATCTCAGTAGAGAAGATCACAAAATTAAAAGCCTGTAAGGAGTCAACACTCATCAGGGAATGATGTTATGCTGAGTGAAAAAGTCACAGAAAAGATGTCATGAGAGTTGTCATATTTTTCAAGTGAATAATCACAGATAATGTCAGGAAAAAGAGATTATACACTACTGAATATCATCAATATTGTATTACTATAATATTTCTCATCATCATCAGCTTACTACAACACTCATCTAATACTTGCTTATGCTAGCTCTCTTGACTTGCACATATATTTTACTATAAATAGCTCTATCTTTTGTATGAAATAGATATATTAGATAGTGTATAGATAATATAACAAGCAGATCTTGATATAAATAAGATTCATATGTCTTCAACATATTCATCTGTGACACTCAATCTGACAGTTATGAGCCTGGTAAGCAGCATCTGAAGAGAAGTGTGATACACTGATCTCAATTCTCATTTGAATTTGACAATAATCATTTGAACTGAGATGATTGATTCTTATTTATATACAGTCTGATCTAATTGACTGTTATACTCAATTCTCAGTAAGCAGTATCTGAAGAGAAGTGTGATACATTAATCTCAATTCTCATTTGAATTTGACAATAATTATTCAAACTGAGATAATTGATTCTTATTTGTATACAGTCTGAAATACTTGACTGTTATATTATATACTGATTTCAATTCTTATTCAAACTGATAACTATCATTCAAACTGAGATAATAGATTCTCACTAGTATATGTTCTGATATACTTGACTGTTATATACTCTGATTTCTGATCATATTCATAAATACTTGAACTGATTCCTCAATTCATTCAATATAACTGATATAACAGACAAGACAATGTCTAGTGCAACTGTACATCTTAGCATTTCTGAAGATTGAAAACTTTGATACAAGTATATACAAGGATATGTAAAGAATAAGAAGATATCAGACTTCATCAATCTTAACAAACCTGATATCTTCTCTGAACTAGAAGAATCTCTGAAACCTGAGTATTCAGATAAAGTCACTGCGGAGGTCAAGATAGCATATGATATCAAGGTCACTGCATGGAAAATCAAATATATGAAATATGAGAAATTGAATGAAGATATGACAAAGATACAAGATGTTATATAAAGAACAGTAAATATCACAGAGCTATAACATATATGCAGTGAGAATGATGATATGAAGAAGATTATTTATTCATTAAGAGATAGACTCTCACTCACAATCACAGATTATCAAGATAATGTGAGAACCTGATATCATGATCTCTGTAAAGCACTGAAAAACAGAGATATAGAGAAGTGATTAAATAACTGATCACTCATTAAAGATGATATTAAAGAGACAGATATAGCTGAACAGTTCAACTTGAAGAAAGACTTCTTAAATGTGAATCTAGCTATTGATGCAGAATATGTACAAGCATGAATAAAGAATATCTGACATGATAAAGATGTCATATCTTTGATTGAGTTAGTTAAGAACTTCAAGAAAAGATATAGAGAAATGAGTATTCTCAAAGAAGATAAACCTATGAACTTTGCTATTCTTAATCAAAGATCTCAGCAATTATCACCAGTGATATTCAGAAACTGCATCTGCAGAGCCTGTCATTGATACACTCAGTACTACTATCTCAATTCATCAAAGAAGCCATCTGAATGAAAGGAAAATAAGAAGAAGAGAACTCAGATTGATCAAGCTCTTAAAAATCAAGAATTGAAGAGATGTGTTAATCATGCAATATCTAGAGATTTATTCATGAATACAGATATAATAGATGTTAATGAAGCAGTTCTAGAAGAAATGATTCTGAAGCAATCAGTTTCTAAATCTATCAATCATCAATCTATCAATCATCAATCTATTGATTATCAATCTATTAATCATCAACCTATCAATCATCAATCTATCAATCAACAGATTCAGAAAATATCAATGAACTCTTCAAATTCACACTTCTATCTCTGAAACTCCTGGATCTTTGATACTGGCGCGGAACAGCATATATGTAATAATCAAACACATTTCCTATTCTTTACACCTGTGAATGAGAATGTGAAAGTCTATACAGGCGATTTCAGCACTAAAGTTGAAGATTATGAAACTGTTAGAACTATCATGATAAATGAAGCAGGAAAGCAGTTCAATGTCAAACTCATTAACACAGCTTATATTCTGAATTTCCATACAAATATCATCACATGAAAATCATGTTTTCATATAGAAGGCATCTATTATGATGAAAAAGACTTCAGATTGTGAAAACACGCAGATAATACAATCTTTGCATGTATTGAAGTATTTGAGAGATTACTAGTTACAGAATATAGTGATATAACTGTTTTCTCAACTATATTGAAAAAATCCACTATCAAAGTCAAAGCAGCTATCACATCACACACATCTAACATCACTATATCTGAAAAAATGATATCTTCAAATTCTTCAACTTCTACAAATTCTTCTTTCAATCTATCAATATGCATAAAATCTTCTCAAAAACCTAAGATCTCTATAGCTACTCAATCAACATGATATAAGAGATTAGAACATTCATTGAAAATTATCATTCAAAAGCTTGTAAATAATACAACTGGTATTTAAATCATCAATCTAGAAGATGCTGAGAATGAGCTTATCACTGAGCTTTGTAAACTCTGTCATCTATCTAATATAAAAAATCAAATATCTAGACATCTTCATATTAGATCTTAAACATTATTCAAATATCTACATGCAGATATCACACATGGCCCTACACAGTGCTATAATAATGAGTGTTATCTCATATATTTCATGTGTGATTATCTACATTTTCATATAGCTATAACAGCTATCTGAAAATCAGAAATCTGAAAAGCTCTTAGACAAGCTATCAATTGAATTAAATGTTAATTCAACTGTACTATAAAGATTATTCATATCAACAATGATACTACAATCAAGAAAGCAGATAATTTCATAAATTGAGTGAATAATGAGGGTCTAGAGATGAAGTATTCTTCAGAGTATATTCATGAGCAAAATGATGCAGCAGAGCGAGCAGAAGCAATATTAATAACAAAGACAAGAACTCTACAGATAAAATTCCTTCTATCACAATCACTTTTTCCTGAGATTGTACTTACTGTCATCTACCTAGCAAATCAAATCTCTACTAGAATTCTAGATTGAAAGTCACCTCTACAAGTATTGAAAGAATTTCTACAAATCAAACCTCACTTCTGTGCTCATCTTCAAATCTACAGATGTCACATCTATGCAAAGATACCAGATGAAGTTCTCAATAGAAATCACTCACAGAAGCTAGATTTCTGAGTATATATTGAATATCTAGTTGAATATGATTCTACAAACATCTATTGAATTTAAATTTCACACTTAGAACAGATGATAAGAGCAAGAGATGTGATGTTTGATGAGAATAGAAAATTCAACTCAGAAGACCTGTACATTGAAAGATAACTAAGAGATTGAGTATTTAAGAAGGTGAAGCTTCTATATATGAAAGTTCAAGAATCATCAATGACTACTATAAATCAATTGAAAGAGATTATAGATGCAGATATTAATGTTTTTCACTCTGAAGAAAATGCTCAAAGCTCTGAAAAAATAGAGGAGGAAAATAATGTTTCAATTCTTTCTACACCAGATTCAACACCAGATTCAATGCCAGAGTCAACAGATTTCAATGTTGATATTAATACTCATTCAGCTGTGATAGATAATTGAACACAGAACATTGCATCTAGAGCTTATAATATCAGTGCTGATTTTGATGAAGCTAATATCATTGAAAGTTACAGAATATGAAAACACAGAGCTGCTCATCTTGTGACAGTTTCAATTGTCAAAGACAATTCTTATTGAATAATCAATGAGACATTCTCTCAATCACATTCAGACTTCTACAAGTCACAATATTTATTTTCAAATACTGTTTTCACAGTTATCAACAATACAGCTACATCAACAGCATTTATATCAACTTCAAGAATTTATAGATCTCAAATGTCAGATTCACTGAATCACTGAGCAGATATCAAAAAACACTTACATTATGAAGAATTTGAGAACACTGCTAAGCAGAAATGAAATAGTATATCTCTGTAGAATACATATGAAATTACTAGCAGATTACAGAGAGATGTTTCAGTTATTTCTCTATAATGAATATTTATCTACAAATTCAATGATGAAGGTTTTCTTTTAAAATACAAAGCTCACATCTGTGTATAAGAAGATCTTCAATTAACTACAGATCTCACTACAAAAGCTCATACACTAGCTGTCAGAGATCTCTGAATCTTGTTAGCTTTAACAGCAGTATTTGATCTAGATGCAGAATAGCTAGATGAAATTAATATCTTCATTAATAGTGATATTGATGAGTTAGTATATATGAAACTATCTGATGAATGATGAAA